CCCTGCACCTTGTTGTCTTGAATATTGTCTTATATGGCTTGATGTAAATTTTTGTTTGACAATTGCTCCTTGGGACATTTAACTATATTAAGTGTTCTACATTGGTGAATGTTTATGTTGTTGCAATTGGTGCATTTTCAGCAGCATAAGCAGATCACTTCTGGGTAGGTAACGATTCCTGGGAAATTTCTGGCTCCTGGTTAAGGAGCCAAATCCCAGGTAAGGACTTGACACCCAGGCTGGTTGCTGATGTCCAGGTAGGTTTCTGACCATGAGAAGCTGCTGTGCTATCTTCACACCTCTGCTGAACAACTACACAGCTGTGGGTTGGTCATCAGGGTTGAACCCTCCATGTGAGATCAGTAACACACACAAACCCCAGGGCAGATGTTTTCTCTGGTTGGACAGTCTAGAAGCAGGGGATACAATTTCAGGATAGACTATTTGGGACAGAGATAAGGAAACATTTCACTCAAAAAGTAATGAAGCTGTGGAATTTCCTACTACAGAAGGCAGTGGAGGCCAAGTCACTGAATATATTTAAGAAAAAGATGTGTAAAGTTTTAGATTTTAAAAACATCAAGGATCATGGGAAGAAAGCCGGAATATGGCATTAAGATAAGAGATCGGCCATGATTTGTATTGAATGGCAGAGAGTTTGTAGGGCTTAATGGCCTACTCTTGTTCCTAGTCTCAAACCCTTCCCCAGCAATCTGCACACTAAGTTTTAAAGAATGACTCACAAGAATAACTGGATAAACTAAATTGCATGTGAATTATTGAGCACAAATGTCATAGTTTCAACTTTTCATCTTTATTGAATTAACTGATTTGAGCCCACTTGTTTCTTTATTGCACCAGGTGATTGTTGTGGCCTTGAGTCATCAAGTTGTTAATTCACTCATTGAAGACTTTCATTTGCAATTGTATTGCTCTCTGTATGCTGTCCTAGGTCATGGTTATAGGTTAGCGGGGCAGAGATTGATGCCTCTCTTCTCTGTTCCACCACAGGTGCCTCCTCCTTCACACCAGAATGCTTGAATCAAACAGCAGTTATGTTAATGTCCATAAGAATGCATGTCACAGTGTATACCTGTACAGAACCATCATCCTGCTCATTACCTTCTGTTTTACTTTACTTGGAATTGTGGTAAGGTTACATGTTTACTTTATGTTGAGTTCCCCCTGCTCTATTTCAGATTTTTCTCCCCTATTGATTAGCTGATATCACTGGAGATAGATGCCACTTCCTCTTGAGGCACCCAAAGTGACCTGGTGGCTTCATGCTGTGATTCTCCCTTTGTTGTGTGTACATGGGCATTATCATTCAGCCCAACAGTGAAAAGGTCAGAATTCATTTCCAGACCAGCAAGTAGTCTAAATCCTCTTTACCTGTCCACTACCCAGATCGTATTATTTTTCCCCTTTTCCTTTGACCACTTCTCCTATCCAGTCTCAAACAGTGACATGGTTCCTCTCTCAAACGTTAGTAAAGTCCATAGCTTCACATCTTGATCAATATCCATCTTATGGTATAGAACCCAATATTGCACATAACACTCTAACTCTTATTAAAGTTTTGTTTATGATCAGTGTTACCTCTCAGTAATTATGTTCAAGCCTCTTCTAATAAGACTTTGATCTTTCATTGTCTTTTTTTACGCACTCACTAACCTGTGATATTGCCTTCAATGTTCTACAAACCTTTTCACCTCACCAAATTCAAAAAACTAAAGAACTGCAGATGCTGAAAATCAGAAACCACAAAGTAAGAAAGATGTTTAACTACTTTAAGCTGTTCTGAAGATGAATCACTCGATCTGAAATGCTGACTCTGCTTTCTCTTCACAGATGCTGTCAGACCTGCCAAGTTTTTTCTGATTTTGTTTCATCCACCAAATTTCTTTGGTTTTCTGTAACACTGAAACTACTGTTTTTCAGAATAAAATTACTAGAATGACAGAACAAAATTCCACTAACATTCATCGCTGCACACTTAGTGTTAATGAAACCCACTGCCACATCATGGCTCATTCCTCCACTTTATCAGCAGCCCTTTGCTTTTATTGGCCTTTTAGTGAATTCATTACCCTTCCTATTTCAGTATAATCTGCAAATTTCAACAGTATTCCCCCAGTCCTACGTTCAAATGGTTAATTTCTGCAGTGGCCTCAGAACTGAGCCCTGTGGGACAGCAGTATTCACTTCTAAACTTCTCCTTTGTAAACAGTTTTTAATTCCATTTTCCCTTCCTTACTTTGACTCTACAGCCTTTATCTTCTCTATTAATTGCCACATGATGTCTTGTATTAGGTCTGTCATCTGTCTAAAATTGTTATTCCCAGTTACCTCTTCAAAGAATTCCACAAGGTTGGTGATCATCCCTATTGATATCCATGCTAACTGCCTTTAAATAATTTATCTAGATATAAAGTAACTTCAGAATGAATTAAAGGCTTAATATTTTTTCATTACACCGACATTAAACAGACTTGCCTGTATATACCCTGATTACTCCTGTCTGCTTTAGGTACAGTGGCCACTTTGCAGTCCTCCAGCACACATCCACATAAAATAGGACCCTGAAATATAAAGCGTAAGAAGTATGTTATTACTGCACTAGAGTAACTGCTTAGATGAAGCTGATATTTTTGGAGTGGAAATCGAACCCAAGGTCTCCTGACTCAGTTAATGATTCAACACTAACATCACATAGCAGGGCAGTCCTCTCCAACTAATGCTGTAACACAGACAAGCTTCAAACAGCCTTCCCTCCACTTCATTTTCTTGAAAAGGATTTATTTTTTAATTGACTAAATTTAAACATTTTGCAACTTGTGGTGGTTAACAGTAGGTGGGGTAAAGAGATTTGCATGAGTGTGGATGCAAATGTAGTTTGGATGTATCAATTTTAAAAGAATGCTTAGTTCCTTTTTCTAAATACAGAAGATAATAGGGTTAAATTTGTGATGTTCAGATGTTTGTGAGTTGGACTAGTCAGTGATGGTGCTGCTGTGTTTACTTTGATTTGTTCTTGGCTAATTTTCACATTGTCACACCTCCACACTTTGAAATTCAGTTCCACTCTTGCATTTCACCCTGTTGACCATATGTGAGGCTAGATGCTGAATGACTGTGGGCTACTTGACGACGAGGGTATCACAAGTGAGCTTGACCCATGCTCTGCTGCGGTGTGCACTTCTAGCGGAAACACTGGGTGAGGGATCAATCTGTTGGATTCTTTACCCCCTTTTGATGAAGGCTACAGAGGCTAATTGTAGCACTACCAGTGCTGTTACGGTTGACAAAAGCAAAGGCAGCATTGACTGGGGATTGAATTCATCCTGATTATCTTATTCCACCATACTTTCAGCTGCCTCGTCTGGAAGCTGTAGAACTTTTCCTCCAAACTGCTACATCTCTCCGTCTCCTCCTTTTGGGTTGCTCCTTTAAAACGTAATTCTTTGACTGACCTTTTGGTGATTTGTCCTGTTATTTCTTTAGTCAAATAACCTTTTATTTGGATGTTTTGTAATGATAAAAGGAAAATTTGCCCTTGACTCATTATAAATTTATTGACTTAAAGGTAAATATTACAACAGTATAAGCAATGCGCAACATACATAGATGTAAATAATACAAATACAATATTTATCTGAGCCCAGGTCACAAGGTTGATTGATCTTCTTCCAATCAATGGCATTGATATTGCTAAATTGCTCAGAGCTTTGCTTGGCTGGGATTCTTGGCTTTTCAGCATTTGGGCTTACATGCACATCTTGCTCAAGTAGCCACAATGTATGGTTTCTTATTCATAGTAATACCTAAAATGTTTGTCACAATTTTTAATTAGCAATTATGCATGCATCAAGTCCAAAGGCTGATTGTTCTCACCCTCCAGAATAATAGATCCTTAAAACCAGGAGGCTGTTTTTACAAGCTGTACAGTACTGAATTGGATTAAAACAGACTTTGGCCTAATAATAAGTCACTGTTTGACCAAAATATTTTAGCACTCATAAGCCTTTGTCAGAATCATGGTGACTAATCATCTAAAGACTAATTAACTTGGCAGTTTTATTTAACTTTTTCCATTCATCCCTGCAGATTCTCCTAATTAAATCTCGGATCCTCTATAAGAAACTAGTGACTCTGACTGGATTTCTTGGAGACCAGCAGTGGGCAAAGATCAGCATGATTGAGAGGAGAATCTTCCTCTATCCTACAGCTTTTCTGTTTTGTTGGGGACCAGGTTAGTAGAGTCTAACAAGGTGCTCTGTGTGACTCTGTAGATGTGATAATAAAACCAAATTAGAGAGTGGAGGGGGCACATTGATGCACCATCTTACTGCTCAATTCATAGAATCTACACTGTGGAAACAGGCCATTCAGTCCACACCGACCCTCCAAAGAGCATCTCTCCCAGATTCATCCCCCTATCTCTGTAACTCTGCATTTCCCATGACTAATGCACTTAGCCTGCACATACATGGACACTCTAGGCAACTTAGCATGGCCAAACCACCTAACCTGCATGTTTTTGGACTATGGGAGGAAACTGGAGCACCTGGAGGAAACCCATGCAGACACAGAGAATGTGCAAACTCCACACAGACAGCGACCTGAGGGTGGAACTGAACTTGGGTCCTTGGCACTGTGAGGCAGCAATGCTAACCACTGAGCCATCGTGTTGCAATTATTCAGCTATTTAAGACTTACCAGATGACACCACGTGAACCATGTGTTTTAGCCTGCCTTAGATTCTGGAAAAGCCCCAGAGGATTGGTAAACTGCTAATATTTATTCATAAACAACCTTTTATTCAAAAGGGAAGCGGATTTAACAAAAAACAGGTAACTATAGGCCATTAACTTAACATCTGGTATAGGTAAAATGTTACAGCCTACACTTCATCCTCATTATCCACTGATGCACTACCACCAGATCCACATACTCATGAGATCAGCTGCTAAACTCATCTTTTTGTCTATGTTCACTCATCTGGTCTGATTGTGCTGTACTTCGTAGTACATAGGAGAGTTACATTGGAGTGGTATTCACGGTTTTTGTTATCCTTGGGGAGTCCAAACCATTAACTCCCACAGATAACTAAGACAGGGTGTGTTATAAAGGATCTAATAGCAGAGCATTTAGAAACCAATAATATGAATCAGAATGGGTTCATGAAGGGAAAGTCATACCTGACAAACTTATTACAGCTCTTTAAGGAGGTAACAAGTAGGATAGATAAAAGAAAAGCTGTGGGGATGTAATATATTTGGAGTTCCAAAAGGCATTTGATAAGGTACTGCACGTAAGGCTATTTCATAAGAGCCATGGTGTTGGAGGTAACATATTAGCACAGGTAGAGGATTAGCTAACTAACAGAAGACAGGATTGGGATAAAGGGGCATTTTTATGATGGCGACCCATAACTAGTGGAGTGTCAGAGCAATCCGTGCTGAGACCACCATTATTTGCAAAATATCTTAATGACTTCGATGACAGAAAAGAATGTACTATCACCAAATTTGGGATGAGACAAAAATAGGTGGGAGGCAAGTAGTGAGGATGGCACAAGGAGTCTACAAAGGGATATAGAGAAATTAGGTGAAAGGATAAAAATTTGGCAAATGGAATATAATGTGGGAATATGTGATGTTATGCACTTTGTCAAGAAGAATAGGGGAGCTGAATATTATTTAAATGGAGAAAGACTGCAGAGAGCCACAAAAAAGGAGGATTTGGGTAACCTAGTGTATAAATCACAAAAACCTAGCATTCAGGTTCAGCAGGTAATAGGGCAGGCAAGTGGAATGTTGGCCTTTATTTCAAAGGGAATGGAGTATTAAATAGGGAAGTCTTGCTAAAACTAGGCACCAGTCAGATCACAGCTGGAATACTGTGAACAGTTTTGGTCTGAATTTTTAAATGAAAGATATACTGCCATTTGAGGCAGTCCAATAAAGGTTCACTCAGTTGATACCAGGTACAGAGGAATTTTCTGATGAAGAAAGATTGAATAGGTTGGGCCTGTACTCATTGGAGTTGAGATGAATGACAGGAGCTCTTATTGAAACATACAAGATTCTTAGGGGTCTTGACAGGGCAAATGTGGAGAGATTGCTTTCCCTTGTACCAGATCTAGAACCAGAGGGAATAATCTCAGAGTAAAGAGTCACCCATTTAGACAGAGATGAGGAAGGACTTTCTTTCTCTTAGTGTGGTGAATCTGTGGAGTTCTTTACCACAGAGGGCTGTTGAAGCTGGGTCATTAAGTATACTCATGGCTGAAATGGACAGCCTTCCTTTTAATCAGTAAGGGGATCGAGGGATATGGGGAAAAGGCAGGAAAGTGAAGTGAAGGATTATCAGACGATTTCATTGAATGGTGGTACAGACTAGTTGGGCCAAATGGCCTCCTACTTCTCCTATGAATGATGGTCTTAAAATAAATGTGCTAGACAGATTACAGCAGGGAATTGCTGGGCAGTGGTGGCGGGGGGAATGCAAATGGTGTTAAATAACTTCTAAATAGCTCAGACAGTTCCAATAGTTATCATAGAATCCCTACGGTGTGGAAACAGGCCCTTTGGCCTAACAAGCCCATACCGACCCTCAGAGCATCCCACCCAGACCCATCCCCCTATAACTCACCTAATCTATAGATCCCTGAACACTACAGGCAATTTAGCATGGCCAATCCACCTAACCTGCACATCTTTGGACTGTGGGAGGAAACCGGAGCACCCGGAAGAAACCCATGCAGACACAGGGAGAATGTGCAAACTCCACACAGACAGTCGCCCAAAGGTGGAATCGAACCCGGGTCCCTGGCACTGTGAGGCAGCAGTGCTAACCACTGAGCCACCGTGCCACCCGTTATCCTTCATGAGATATACAAAATATTGTTTGGACAGTATGTTAGTGAGATTATATATACACATACTTCTCTTTTGCATTAAATACCTAGGTCTTTAAGGCAGTGCACCACCAAAGTTAGTAAGAGTGAGTGACAGCACAAGGTAAACCAGAAAATAATGATATGGTGACCACACACTTGGGTTTTAAACTCCTGAAATGTTCACGTTAAGGGAAGTCCAAGGGAGGAGAGAGTGGAGGAACTATATCATCATTCGTGTATTGTTACTGGGTCAAGGTCCGGGAGTTCCCTTCCTAATAGCATTGTGGGTGTAGCTACATCCTGTGGACTGGAAAGGTGGTGAGGAACCTCCTTCTCAAGGCAATTAGAGATGGGCAATAAATGCTGGTCCAGGCAGTGATGCCAATATCCCATGAACAAATACATTTTTAAAAAGTTGCTCTTGGAAGTGAAGAGAATAAGCTTAGCCAGATCATATTAGTTACCCTTTAAATCCTAGCTATTCTGACAGATAAAACTTGGGAGAGAAAGAGTGAGGGGTTAACGTAAATCAGTGAGGGATGCAACTAACCATGTAATCATGCCATCATGCCATCAGCATAACACTTAAAGAAAAAAGTCTGAGATGGTCATTGAAGGAGAAACAGCACTCTACCAAATTGGTAATGTACATAGTGTGAACAGAGAATTGGAAATACTTTACCAGTTATCTATACATATACATGGTACAGTAGAAATCATAAAGATTACCAACTGAATCAACACGAAGATGACTAGGACAAACCATATCTAGGATTAAGGGTAGACTTGATCATGGTGCAGAACTTTCTTCTATGGTTATCACAATTCCAAACCAGTGGGAAGATCCACAGGTTAGAGAACCTGGGAAAGAATTTTAAAAGCAAAAATTGACACAAGTGATAATAGTGGGGGTAGAAGGAAGAATGTAGAATATTACAATTATAGGATCATGAGATAGGAGTTCACAGGTTGGCACATATCAACAAATAAGGAAAAAAAGATTGTGCCAAATATTCCACAGGTGATGATTACTTATCAGATGATTATTTTGTCGTGTATTTTGTGTAGAGGAGCCTCTCCCTCCATAGGTTATACATGCAATAGGTGGACGGTTATGTACGTGATGCATGTACTTCTGTTGGTTAAATGTTGTCATGTTTGTTGAAGAAAGCCAAAAAAACTAATTTTAACCTCTGTTTATGGTTTTTTTTCCCTTTAGCAACCATTCTGGCCGTGGTTAAGCTGTTGAACCCAAAGGACATGCCTTCTCTTTATGCTATACTCTATAGCTTACAGGTGAGCTTTCCAAAACAATATTTAGTCATGGGGTAGGGGTGGGAGGTGGTGGTTGGGGGAGGGGGTGGTGCTATACCTCTTTCTCTCAGTCAGAGTGACTAGATGATGTAGCGTGACTCTAATATGATCTGGTTAGGCTAACTCCCATCGCTCATTTGAGCAATATTTAAGACAATTATTCTTGTTGATGCCATTACCTGGGCCAGCATTTATTACCCATGAGTTTGTAGACTTGCTTGTTGAGCTGGTGTGTTTGATTGTAGATGTTTCATCACCCTGCTAGGTAACATCATCAGGGCACCTCCGGTGAAGCATTGGTGTGTCCCGCTTGTTATTTATATGCCTCGGTTTGCTGGAATCAGGAAGTTCTACCAATACTTTGCCAGATGTAAATCTATAATAATTATGGACCACAAACCCCTGTTAAGTCTACTTAAAGAGGACAAGGCAGTGCTGCCCATAGCTTCAGGCCAATTCAGTGGTGGGCTCTAATACTAAGTGCATATAATTACAAGTTGGATTACCGTCTGGGAGGCCAAGTAGCAAATGTGGACACATTGAGTTGCCTCCCACTGGCAGATACACCACTGGTGGTGCTGATGGAAGAGTCCGTAATGGTTTTAAATTTTCTGGACACACTTCCAGTCACAGCTGATAGTATTAGACTTTGGACGCAGAAAGATCTGGTCCTAGCAAAACGGAAACACCTGGTGGTGATGGAAGAAACCAAAGGGCCATCACAACCAGAATTGAAACCCATATGGACCCAGAGAGATCAGATCACACGAGAGAACAGCATATTATTATGGGGAGCAAGAGCAATTGTCCCGAGCAAAGGTCTCTGCCAGATACTGGCTGAACTCCACCAGGCTCATCCAGGATTTTGAAAATGAAGATATTGGCAAGAAGTTATATCTGGTGGCCAGGATTAGATGCAGACATAGCCACATTGGTGGGACAGTGCCCACGTTGCCAACAAGGACAAAAATTACCGCAGTTTCCCTCACATTTGTAGGAATGGCTGGAAAGACCTTGGACTTGGTTACACATTGACTATGCACGTCCTTTCATGGACTCAACGTTCTCAATCATTGTAGGCATCCAGTCAAAGTGGCTGGACGTGCATAGAGTTCATTCGTCAAACACTGGCAACAGTAGAAATTCTGTGTGCGTCTTTTGCAAAACATGGACTCCCAAAAGTGTTGGTCACAGATAACAGGCCATTGATTACCAGCAGGGAACTTGAGTGTTTCCTAAAGTCAAATGGTATTTGACATGTAAGGATAATTTCATTTCATCCAGTGGTCTGGCAGAAAGAGCAGTCCAAATGTTTAAGGCAGGCTTAAAGAAACAGCCTACAACTTCACTAGATAGCAAACTGTACAGTTTTCTATTTGATCATAGGACCACCCCTCATACAACTACAGGGATAGCTCCAGCAGATTTGCTAATGGGGAGAAGACCCTGCATCAGGTTAAATCTGATCTTCCAGGACCTGTGGGGGGGAGGTGAAACTGCATCCAGAATGCCAAGGCTGGACACAAGTCTCCACTAAGGAAGACAGGCATTTTACTTCAGGGGACAAAGTTTGGTGTAGGAACCATGGGAATGGCCCTGTATGGGTAACAGACATGGTTGACGCAAGGTCAGATCCTGCGATGTGTAAAGTTCGGGTAGGTGTGATGGTTCTGAACAAGCATGTGGACCATATGAAAGCTGCAAACTTGCAAACGGTGCAACACCCTTTCTGACTGTACCAGAACCCGTGGGTTCTCGCCCTCCATCAAACGTTGAAAAGGCCTTGGAATCTGAGATGGACATGGGGATGTCACTGCCTCAATGCCTTTCCCACCTGAAGAGGAGAATAAATTTCTTCTGAGATGCCCCGGGTGCAAGAGGTGAGCTACTGTGTGTTACACGCTGCCTGTATCAGAGGCACAGTTGGAGGAACCTGACACAGTGCTAAAATGCCCAGAAGGAGCTACTAAAAAAAAACTGGCTTATGTCCATGGACTCAGAGGGGGAGGGATGTAGTGACTGTAACAAGGTCAGCCAGGTAGATCTCAGATTATGAATTCCCTGATTGGTGCAGATTAACAGCCCTAATCATGGAGCCTTGGCTGACAGATAAGAGCAGGAGTATCAGACATCCTGTTCACTCCGAAAACTGCCTCTAAAGGATGTGGATCAGTGTCGAGGACTCTCCACATTCAAATAAAGGGTGAGATAACAAGGTGTAGAGCTGGATGAACACAGCAGGCCAAGCAGCATCATAGGAGCAGGAAGGCTGATGTTTCGGGCCTAGACCCTTCATCAGAAATTGA